GGTCAGCCTACCTGCTGCGCTTTGCATCCGTTCGCAGGAGCCAGCCCCCTTCTCTGGTGAAGCAGCTGCTGTCGCTGCCTGGCTCCTCTGGGCCCTGCACCCCAGTGCCAGGGGGCTGGTTGCCTGGGGGCCAGGCTCTCTCGCCCGCCCGTGGCTGTGGGCACAGACGCTCGGGGGAACAGCAGTGGGCAGCCATGTGTGTGAGGGTCCCAGACCTGCGGGGCAGGGAGGCTGCATTCCTGCAGGCTGTCCTCCCTGCTGTCTGTGTGTGGGGAGGGCCAGGCCATGGGGCAGGATGGGGGGAGGGAGGCGGGCGGGTTCCCTGCTGCTGGAAGGGTCTCTCTGCTGCGGGAGTGACAGAGACGGGGAAAGGGGGGGGGGTCACACTGGCCCCCTGCGGGGCCTTGGCTTCCTCTTAGCTCCTGCGCTGGGTGAGGTCATATCACAGCCACTGTCTCCTCCCCAGCGCTCGCCAGCCTTCCCCTCGGGCACCGGAGCCCTGCTGCAGAGCCCGGGCACTGCCTCGGGGCAGGACGGGCGGTGGCTGCAGAGCTCAGGGGCAGGGAGCGCCGTCAGCGCGGGCTGTGTGCAGCGGGGTGGCCCTGCCGGTCCCGGGATCCGAGAGAGACAGGGTGGGGGAGCTGAGAGGTGGCTGGGAGCTGCAGGGAGCTGCCCTTCGGGTCTGGGCTGTTCTCTGCAGGGGTGGGCGCTTCCCCAGGGCGCTGCTCTCTCAGCCCGGGCTGGGATTTGACCTGGAGTTGGTGGCGATGGGGAGGGGTCTATTGGGTCATGGGGACCCCTCCTTCCCTTTAATTGCCCCCACACACACACCCCCCCAAGCTGTGTGTAGGACTCTGTCATCATCTGACTCTAGCTGTGAAACGGAGCGGCTCTGGTTTGGATGCCTGGCGGCAGCCCAGCCCCCCACAGGCTTGGAGCCGCTTGGCAGAGCTGGGTGAATGCCGGGCTTGGGGTGATTGTCCGTGGTGCATGGGGATGGGCAGCGCTTGTGGAGCTGCTAAGGAGGTGGCGGAGGGGCGCAGGAGACAGATCCTGGGGTTAGACTGAGGGGCGGGGGATAGGCTGGGAGGCCTGGAGCTGTGGGCTAGTGACGCTTGCAGCTGTGTTTCTGTTGAAAGCTGAATTTTGTATGTTCTGTAACATCCGCCGGCATCGTCTGATCAGCCTGAAAATTGGTGGAGCAGCTCAGGGGCTGCCGGGGAGCTTGTGGTGCAAATTTAGGGTTGTTTGGTCACGGAATTCCTAAGATGCCGCCTCCATGAGTGAAAATCTCCAACTTGACTACAATGCTTTGTTGGTAGATTCACAGCGGTTAAGGCCAGAAGGAGCATTGGATCCCCTAGTCTGAGCTGCATGTCACAGGCCGTCCGTTGCATCCCGGTAGCTCTGTGTAACGAGACTGGTTCTGGCAGGACCCAACTGAGAGTCAATTCAGCTCAAATTGCTCAAACAGGGCAGTTACAGCCCAAGGCTGGGGGTTTTCCACCTCTAAGGCAAACCAAACCAGCCAGATAGTGAAGACTTTGGTCTCACCCCACTGGCTAACCACAAGTCACACAAGCAATTTCCTTAGACACTCCAGTTTCCCAGTATCACCACCAGTGCCACTCGATATGGGGACAACTGGTTATGAAAACCAATACCCCAGTAAAAGAAAAAAGGTTCTCCTGATCCCAAAGGACCAAGCCCCAGACCCAGGTCAATATACAAATCAGATCTTACCCACAAATCACACTGTTGCCAATCCTTTAGACTCTAAAATCTAAAGGTTTATTCATAAAAGGAAGAAGATAGAGATGAGAGCTAGAATTGGTTAAATGGAATCAATTCCATACAGTAATGGCAAAGTTCAAGATGGAGACGAGGCATCAGCCTTTTATAGTCTTCTCCAGGTGTAAGAACACCTCTTTGTCCTTACTGTGGAAAATTACAGCAAAATGGAGTCTGGAGTCACATGGTCCAGTCCCTGCATACTTTGCTGAGTCTCAAGGCGTATTTGCCTTCTCTCAATGGGTCAGTTGTGTAGCTGATGGTCCTTAATGGACCATCAAGCAGGCTAGGCAGAGCTAACACCAACTTGTCTGGGATGTCACCCAGAAGCATAGCATAAATTTGAATTACAGACAGTATAGAGCCAATATTCATAACTTCAACTACAAAACTGATACACACATATAGACAGCCTAATCATAACCTTGTCTTAGACACCTCATTTGACCCCCGTTATACAAGATTTGGTGGCACTACAGGACTTTGGTTGCAACCATGTTCTATATGATCCCAGATTATATCAATAACGTCACACTCTGCGTTGAGCCTAACCCCTCGTGTCGGGCTGACGCATCGTCCCGAAAGGCACGGTTTGGATTTGAAGAGCTGAGGGGTTGGAGAAACCACCTCTTCTGAACTTGTCTGGCTGCACCTTCCAGCTGCTGGTTCTTGTTCTGACGTTCTCCGCTAGCTTGCAGAGCCCGTTGGGGCTGGGTCTCTTCTCCCTGGGATGAGACTCACGCACCATGTCGTCAGCTCGCCTCTCAATTCCGTTTTGTATCGAGCTCTGTCGGTCTCGCCCTGTCCTGCATTTTCTCCAGCCCGCAACTCATTTTTGTGGCTCTTTTCTGCACCCTTTGCAATTTTTTAACATTCTTTTAAAAATGTGCTGCTCCCCAGAACTGGACGCAGGATCCTGTATCGGCTTCACCAGTGCAGTGTAGAGATAAAATCCCCTGCCTGCTCCTCCTCACTGCTCCCGGGTGTGACGGAGCAGGGAGCGGGGCGGATTGGACCTGGGAATGTTGCAGGAGGGTTGCATTGGGGATGGGGGACTTCCCTTGAAGGAAGCTACCTGAGCTGTAACCTGAGCTGGGGGGAGAGGGGGTTGGGAGAAGGGGAGACTGGACAAAGGAGAGGAGGAGCTGGGGGGAGGGGGGAGAGAGCTGTGTCACGGAGTGTGGGGGGACACAAGGCCCCGCACCCCCGGCTTCCTGCGATTCACCATGACTCTTAGCCAGCCAGTAAAGCAGAAGGTTTATTTAGACGACAGGAACACAGTCCAAGACAGGTCTTGCAGGTACAGACTCCCTCAGTTAGGTCCATCTTGGGGTCCCAGGGCACCACAGCCCCCTTGGGGGTCAGAGCCCCGTCTGACTCCCAGCCCTTCCAGCAGCCAGCTCTGAAACTCCCTCCCCAGCCTTTGTTCAGTTTCCTGGGCAAAGGTGTCACCTGGCCTCTAACCCCTTCCTGGGTTCTCATGTTACATGCTCAGGTATTCTCCCTCACAGCCAGTCTCACATCCCCCCATGCAGACCATCCTAGCCACACTCCCCTGCCTTCCCAGCCAACACTCCCCACTCAGCATTCAAATAACACATCAAGAACAGTCCCAGTTCGTCACGTGCTGCTGGAGGGGTTTTGGTTTCAGTTTTGTGCTGGTTGGTGGAACGCAGGGAACCCCAAGGCTGGGATCTAAGCTCCCTGCCCCCCAGAAGGACTTGACTGAGGGGTCCTGGTTGTACCTACAAGCTCTGTTGTAGACTGCATTCCTATTGTCCAATAAACCTTCCCTTTTACTGGCTGGCTGAGAGTCACGGTGGATCCCAGGAAGAGGGGTGCAGGGCCCTGACTCCCCCACACTCCGTGACACCGGGTGCATACGTCCACGGGCCACGTTAGCCCTTTTGGCCACAGCTTTGCTCTGGGGGCTCATGTTGAGTTGTTTGTCTCCTAAATCCTCTTCAGAGTCTCTGCTCTCCAGCACACAGCCCCCCATGCTGTGCTGTGGCCGGCAGTCCTTGGTCCTAGATGCATGCGTTTGCATTTGGCTGTATTAAAACCCGTTTTGTTTGAATGGGGCTAGCCTCTCAAGTGATCCAGACTGCTCTGTGTGACGGCCGGGTCCCTCTCACTTACACTCCGTGAATGTCTGGGTCGTCTGCACTTCGTATCAGCAGCGATTCTGTATTTCCTGCCAGATCACCGCTGCAGATGTTGACCAGTGCCAGGCCTGTCTCTGTAGAACCCCCCCACGTTTGATGGTGAGGCTCCTTTGACAACCACGTTCGGAGATCTGTCAGTTAGCCAGGTCTTAATGCATGTCCCATGGCTCTATGGATCCTGTGCGGTGCTCATGGTGTGAGCAGGGTGCCGTGCGGTGCTCAGGCACACGTCGCTGTGCATTACCGCTACACAGGCGCTTTTATCGACCAAGCTCGTCAGAGAAGGAGATCGGGTTTGACAAGACCTGTTTTCCATACCACCACGCTGAACGGCAGTAAATAGGTTAAGAACATACGACCGGCCACACTGGGTCAGACCAAGGGTCCATCTAGCCCAGTCTCCTGTCTGCCGACAGTGGCCAATGCCAGGTGCCCCAGAGGGAGTGAACAGGACAGGCAAAGTGTTCCTATTTTTATTCTTTAGTCATTGAATCCTGTAGCTGGTTTTCTAGGATTTTGCCTGGGATTGCTCTCACTGCCCGTTGGGGTCCGTCTGCGCTGCCTGCGGGCGGCTGGCCGGTGCCCGCTGACTCAGGCTTGGACGTTTCGGCTCAGGCTGCGGCGTGGGGTCTAGGACCCTGCGCGGTGGGAGGGTCCCAGAGCTCAAGCCCAAAAGTCTGCAGGGCCATGAAACAGCCCCACAGCCTGAGCCCATGAGCCCAAGTCCGCTGGCCCGGGCCAGGCCTGGGGCTTTTACTGCAGTGTCGACGTTCCCCTCGTTCCCCGGTGCCATGTCTGAATAGTGGCCCCGTACGAGCACGCGTTGTTTTCTGGCTTTTCCCCAGGATTACAAGACGTACTGAAGATGAACAGCAGCGCAGACGGAGCGTGACTCAGCGGGCAGGGCCCCCGTGAAACGGGTGTCCTGGCTTCTTGTGTCTGACCGGAGCGAGGGAGGTGTTTCGGGAGGGAGGGAGGGCTGGAGAGCTGGCAGCGCACCCAGGAGCTGCTGTGTCTCTGGGGGCTGGGAACACCATTGTGCAGCTGCTGTGTCTGTGCAGCCAGTAGGTCACCGACACACGCGGCTCCTGGCCGCGGCTCAGCTGTGCAGGTGGCTTCAGACCTGGGGAAACCCGGGGCCCCAGAATGGTTGAGCTCAATGGGAGACGGAGGGGAGGGACGGCCGGGGGCAGTGCACTCCGACCCGGGCGGCTGGTCAGTAAATGGAGGGGGGACGGGGCAGCTCTGCTGGGCGAGAGAGGGTTATCCTTGCCTCGATTCCCACCCCTGTGTCGGGTGGGCACACAGCCCATGTTTGAATGGCTTGGCCCAGAGCCCAGCACGCCCCAGTGCCTCCCTTTAGCAGTGGCCAGCACCCGCTGCCCCAGAGGACAGGGCAGGAACCACCCCCCCACACACACACTCCTGTAGCAATGCTGGGACGATCTACCCCAGGGCAGGCTCCTCCGGAGCACTGGGCTTCTGCCTCCCTCCCTCTCCACCGGGCACTGGGGTTTTCAGTGCTGTCTATAGTGGTGCCTCGGGACGGCCTTGTTCTCTGTGAGTCCTGCCGAGCATCAGCCTCGGGGAGATCTTGTGGCAGGGAGTCCCACAGGTCAATCGTGGGTTGAGTGCAAGAACATTTCCTACTCTCCATGGGCAATGGGGTGGGGACGCGCTGGACCCGTGGTCTGGCCAGCTGCCGTGGGGTGGGGACGCGCTGGGCCCAGGGTCTGGCCGGCTGC